CTCAGGCAAGAGATTAGCTTAAGCCCAAGAGTTGGAGGTTGCTGTGAGCTGTGATGCCACAGCACTCTACCCAGGGCGACAGCTTGAGACTGTCTCAAAAAAAAAAAGAACTGGAGCACAATCCAGAGAAGAATCTCATTTTTTGTTAATCCTTTGAAAATCAGAAAAATGATTTCAAGCTATGAAATCTGGCAATGGAGATACTGGTTATTTGATCCAACCATACTTAGGAAAAACAAAATATAACTAATAGTTTGAACTATACATATGGTACCACTCATTATCAAACTTTTACCAGCTGCTCCTAGAACTTAAACCAAGGAATAGCAAATACATGAGTACACTGCATTTCATTAACAAGCTAACTTAGGGTAAGAAACCAATGTAAAATAACTGCCCAGTACCCACAAATCCTGCCTAGCACACAGATACACATTTACCTATTTCATAATGGTATTCTAGGTTCTTCCATTGCAAAATTCACCCATAATCCACCGTAGTCAATGACCCAGTGTACATTTCAACGTGTGGGGGAAAATACAAGGAGGAAGGTTTCTCTCCCAAAATTCTAAACGCAGAAAACTAAGTTACCGAGGCAGTATGGGGCCTACATCTATTTTGTTAACACTACCCCACCTACAAATTCCAGAAGTGAGACGGTATTGGTCTGACACCCCGGAAAGGATGACAGCTCGGGGCTGGTCCCTGAGGCATAGAGTATCGCCCGGGCAGCTCCCGGGTCTCGTCCCCGCCCCCGCCGCCTTCCCCAGTCCTCTTCTCCTCTACCCACCTCCTCCTCCCCACCTCTGTACTCTGGCTCACGCGCTTCCCCTCACTCCGTCAGCTCTTACCGCCGCGCTTCCCTCCTTTTCGGTTTTAACTTCCCACACCGGGTAGGGAGCGGAGGGCAAAGATGCCAGCGGGCAACTGCACCGCCGCGCCCCGGTCCGCACCCAACGCCGGCCTAGTGACAGACAGCGGCGCACTAGGCCAGGCTGCCGGACAGACCGACAGACCCGGACAGGAAGAAGAGGGTGGAGCCGGCCCCGGACTACACGTCGGTCGCTCACTGCGGCGCCAACGTGAGTACGTCAGCACGTCGGCTCCACGTACTCTGCCGGCCCGCGCGCGCGCTGACGTACCTCCTCCAGTCCCCAGGACACGGAGGGAGGGGGCGACAGGGCCGGATGGGCGGCCAGGATGCCCCCGCCCCCTCTCCCAAGAGAGTGTGAGCGCGCGAGTGCGTGTTCCCGGAGACTCTCAGGTATGGTGGACTCCCGCTGTGTGTCGCGCCTGTTATCTCTGGCTCTCTACGCAACCCATGCGTTTACTTGAGTCGGTCGGGTCTTCTCCCCGCCCTTCTTGGGAAGGTGTCTGTGTGGAGGAAACAGTTCCCATGAAAGGTAAGAGAGAAAGAAGGTGTGAGTGGAGAACAAGGTAATTGCTATTGTCAGTCAGAGCCCTCTGGCTGCTGAAGATTAGACATAGTTCTCTCATCTCAAGTCCTCTTTTCCTTAAGTTTTCTAGATTCTCAGTCTCGTGTTTCCGAAGTTATTTCTGCCGGTTGGTCCTTTGGTTGAAGGACCTCCACCAAAAACAGAAAGCCCAAAGATTCCTTAACTCTATGACAAGACAGAAGACACTAAGAATACTAACCAACCAGAAGAACTGTGTAGTGTATGTGTGTAGATTTCTGGATGAAAACCAAGGATGCAAAGATTGCATGAATACGTGTTGTGGCTCTCTTCCATCCTGGCCTTTCTCTATCGCCCCCCACACCCAGCCCCCTACCCCATGTCCTGACACCTGAAGGAATTGTGTTTTATAGAGACGCAGCCTGTAGTGATCCAATTAATGTTCTTCGCTGGCTAGACCACATCTGAAGTGCTGTAAGAAGAGGTCATTCAAGTTGGAATTATTTCAGGGAAGAGCAAAATGATGACGAGAACTCAAAAGCATGACACGTGAAGAAATATTGATCGAACCTGTGAAAATTTGTCTAAAAATCAGAAACTACTCAACTATCTCCAAATATGAACAGACCCATTATGTCAAATAACTTTTGTTTCGTGTCATACAAACTACAGGGAAACAGGTTCCAGATCCTGAAAAGAAGATCTCTTTCTAGCACTAGCCAAAGACTACTTCCACACACAGGATTTGACTTCAAGGAGATTCTGAATGCACACTTACTAGAGACTTGGTACAGAGAACCCAGACATCAAGAAGTATTAATTGATGGCTGTGTGAAGTTATTTCCAGCTTTGAGTTTCCAGCAGGATATGGTCCTGGCCTTCAAAGAGTTTATAAGTTAGTTTATAGAAAAACAAATGCATAAAAAGTAAATAAGGCAAGGCCACATGATAATAAGTGGTAACTTATTGTGGTAACAGTAAGTGCTAGAAATTCACATGAATAGTTGTTCCCATCACAGTTCAGAGGCTAAAGGGAGAATAAAGAAATTGAAAATCTACTCCCTATAACTGCCATATTCAGTAGGGTAGCCTCTAGCCAAATGTGGCTATTGACTCTTGAAATAAAGCTTGTCCAATTTGAAAATAAGTTCAGAATACATACCAGATTGAAAGACTAAGAAAACAAATGTAAAATATTGTAATCTCATGTTGATTATGTGTTGGAATAATATTAGGTATATGCTGGGTTAAATAAATTATGTTAAAAATAATTTCAATTGTTTTTGCTTCCTTTAATATGACTTCTAGAAAATTTAAAATTACTTAGGTGGCTTGTACTTCTATTGGACAGTCCTTGCATGGAGAAATAGACAGTCACCCATCCATATCCATAGATTCTACAACCTTGGATCAAACATGCTTGGAAAAAAAGTGGATCAATGTGTCTGTACTGAACATGTACAGACTTTTTTCCTTGCCACTATTTCCCTAGACTATACAGTATAAAAACTATTTACACACCATTTACATTATATTAGGCATGAAGAGTAATATAGAGACAATTTAAAGTATACAGGGGGATGTGTATAGGTTACATGCAAATACTATACCATTTTTAATAAGAAACTTGAGCATCCTCGGATTGATAATGGGAACTGAACTGATCTG